ATCATGTATACATAAAATGTATATGTATATAGAAGAGTTATACATTTATACATGTAAGAGAGTTCAGAGGAAAGTGAAATATTTCTTATCTGTGGTGAAGAAGGAAATGTGTGTTGATTGTAGGCATAGTTGATACAGAGTTCAAACAGCTCTTTGCCCAGTGCCCCAACATATAGGAAGTACTCCACGAAAATGTTTATTAATTTTTGGAGGCCAGATTAATTGGGATTGGAATAGAGTTGGCTCTCCTCTTTGGGGCCTTTAGTATCTACAAAGGAATGGAGTTGGAGACTCTGGGGCTGACATTTCATATAAGTTTACTGAATCAAATTGAAAAATCTAATTTTAAAAATGATTCCTAAAGCCTAGGATACTTTTGCTAAGCATGCATATAGTTTAAATGGTTTAGTTTCACAATCTTGATTCAGAAATAACATCCTGTTTTAAAAAAGACATGAATAATAAAAAGAATTTGAGATATTAATAATGAAATATAAGAGTGAATGCCTTAGGTCTAATATTTTACATCCCCTAATATATCATAGAAAGCTAAGCATTTATTTCTTTGTTAAGCTTTTATTTACACTGTAAGTGTCTCACACTGTCTTATTCCAGGGTAGACAGTGCGCAGTGACTGAGTGAGGGATGGATCCTGGGCCCTCCTTTGTCTCCTCGTGCACCGTAAGGCAAGGCAAACAATTTCTCTTCACATTCTCCCACCTAAGGGGAAGAATTTGACTTAAGTGTGTTTTCTCAATTGAACAGGGAAGTGAGAATACAATAATCTATAACTACCAATTGGGGATCAGCTAAGATATGAGATAGGTAACTCCACTCCCTACCCTCTTGAAGCTGGGTGGTCAGGGGCCATGGCAGATCTTCCTGCAACATTGCCTTCTTGGACCAACTCAGTGACAGCTGGAAAAAATAAAGACAGATACTCATGTGTGGAATCTAATGAACAAAATGAACAAACAAAATAGAAACAGACTCACGGATAGAGAACAGATTAACAGCTGTCAGAGGGAAGTGGGGTTCCTGGGCTGGGTGAAAAAGGTGAAGGGATTAAGCAAAAAGACAATCATGGAAATGGATATTCAATATGTTCCAAAATATGTAAAACTATCCCTAACAAGGAAAAGACCAAAGGAAATACACTGAACCCCAGCAGTGGCCATCTCTTGGCAGTGGCATGATTGAAAATTGCCATTTTTTTTATTTTTGTTGTTGAAGTTTCTAGCCTTTCTAAAGTGAGTGTTATTTTTATAATCAGGAGTTATTTAACTACTAGTGCCCCAATGCACATATATGTGCACATTGAAAGGATATTAATTAGAAGATGGTCAGTGGGGCAGGATAGGGCAAGATGGGCTGGACATGCCCTGGAGCCAACATCCTGTGGTCCCTCCATGGCCAGCTGCACCTGGTGCAGCATTGTGCCTCTAAGGGCTTCTGCAGAGTGAGTGAGGTCCCTCTGGTAGGTGGGGTCACATGGCCTGGCCTGTAGGGATCAGGCCAAAAAAGGCTCTCCAACACCCCCCAGGGGTCTCAGACTGCAAGAGGGCAGTTCTCAGGTGACACCCTCCAGAATCTGGCTCCTCCTCTCTGGCTCTGGGGTAGTTATCAGAGAACCACCACTGCCAAGTCACCACAGCTCTGCAGCTCCTGCATTGAGCGTCTGCCCCCTAGTGGTCAGTGTGCATCAAACCTGCCAGCTTGTGGGATGGTCCGAAGGTCACTTAGCCATATATCTGTAAAAAAAAAAAAAAAAAAGATACCAATGACAGCCATCACTGTTTATCTGGCTGCTCTGCCCCAAATGCTTGAGTTGTCCATCCAGAGCACTGGGAGTCTCTGGAGGATGTGCCCCCATACTCTCGCACTGTATGGCTGGTACTAGATACCATGCCATCTCTCTCCTCTCCCATTCTCTGTCTCCATGGGGAGAGATTTGATTGTTCCAAGTGTTCCCCAAGGGAACTACTTCCACTGCTGATGTCTCTCAAGGGCATTGCTGCTGCAGTTGAAACCAATGCCTTCTGTCAAGAGAGTGGACAGGAGGGCCACAATGTCACCAATGTGGTCACCAGAATGAAATAGTTATTGCCACCAATGCCAGGTCCTCCCCCACAATCATATATCCTCTGGTTCTTTGTGCTTCCGTAGCCCTTGGAAATTTTTCAGAAACATTTTGGGTTTTACTAGATATTTCTTAGAATTTCATTATCCAGAGACTCGGAGTGAATCCACAATGACTAAACGAGGAAACAGTTCTCAGACAAAACCTACATTGTGCTCAGAATAACCCGTTTCTTTGAAAGCTCATCTGTCATTTTTGAAACACTTTGGCCATTAACCCTTCTTCATTCTCTTAGGTTGAGTACTTTTCCCAGAGGAATAAATCCCTGGTGAGTTCACTCTACAATATCTTAAGTCACAGGTGATGCTCTATCCACTGAGACAAACTGGCTAAGGCTGAATTTTAAAAAACAAATCACTTCTCAAACTTCTCAAACAGACTTCTGAATGAAACTAAGTTCAAGAAGAGAGGTTCTACTGTATTGAGCTAAGATTTCCTTAGCTTTTACTTAATGTGCTTTTTCTGCCCCAGGATCCCATCCAGGATACCGGATTAACATTTAGTCATCATGCCAGGCCTCATTGGGATCCTCCTGGCTGTACAGTTTTCTAGACTTCTTGTTTTAGAGAACCTTAATCTTCTGGTTTGTTTGTTTTTTACATTAAATCCTCAGATGTTGTTGATGTTATAGTTGAAAGTTGGTACCCTTTTTTCAAGCTTTTCCTATTTCTTCAACCCCCTCAGCCCCTGGCAACACTTTTCCACTCTGTGTTTCAGTGAGTTTGACTGTTTCTATTTTTCATATTCCACATATAACTGATGTGGGTACTTGTGTGTCTCTGTGTGTGTAGAACATTTTCTTTATCAATGGGCACTTATATTACTTACCTTGGCTATTGTGAATAATGCAGCGCATTACCTAGCATTTTAGATGTATTAACTAAAATCCCAAAGACCTAAATACCCATACTTAAATTTCACTAAATACTTGAATGATCATACATCACTCCAACACCTGACTCTTCCCAGGTTGTATGTGGGGTCTGTATGCTTGCATTTCCTGGGTACACTTCACTGATTTTCTCCCCTACTCACCTCATATTTATTTCTTTTTCTTCCAGAGAACTTCAAACCTAGTCAGTACCTTCATGTTTATTGAATGCCCCATGGCAGTGACTGAATTAATCGCTTGATCTGTCACTGGAGTGACAGGACAGTTTTCTCTAGAACCCTGAGGATCAGAATCCTGTGTGTGTGTGTGTGTGTGTGTGTGTGTGTGTGTGTGTGTGTGTGTTTGGTGTGGTGTGAAAGAGAAGAGAGAGAAAGAGAGAGAGAGAGACTTGAGCAGTAACAGCAGAAGCATTTTGCAAGTTCCCAGTGAATCTTCTGCTTTCAGGTGTGTGACATCAGCACCCCTCATAGTAACTGCTCTTCCTCCATGAGGGACTACCCCATGGGCTTGTATTGAACAGGCTATCCAACCAAGCTCTTTATAGAAAGGGGACCAACAACTGCTGAAGAAGCAATGAATGTTCACAAGGTAAACACTGTCAGTCACATCTTATTTTGGGACTGAGACATAGGATTCAATCTGAGACTCACACATAGGTCCAGGCTGAGAAACATGGCTGAGGACTGCTTTAAGGAGGCCTCCTGACACTCTATGTTAATGTGTTAAACTGACTAATTTGCCCAACTAGTTGTGGTGGAGATACTGTCTACAAAGACAATGAAAGACAACAGGAATGGAGAGGTACCCTACTGAGTACCCAGGTAAAAGTGTATTATATCTCTAAAGGTGAAGGTTACCTGTAGCTGCAGTCTGTTGAAACGGGTACTGAGTAGAACATGTCAGTCAAATGCTTTGCTATGACTGCTCATTATTTACCAGTTTTTGTTTTTTGTTTTTGTAGAAGCGGTAATTTTAATAATATTAGAGATGGATCCCTAATGGGTGTGACCATGACATGAATGGCTTTAAAATTCACACTGAGGCACCAATCATACTTCCAGGTTTAAGAGCAAGTCAAATTTGGCTGTTAAATTCAGAAGCAGGAGGAACAATTATACCTTCTCTAACTAGGTCTTCTATAATGGGTGTCTATCTGTGAAGGTCCTGTGTCCATTTACGTTGGGTCCTTTTTCAACAAGGGTAAAAGGTGTTATTTGGTAAGTAGAGGGGAGGTCCACAGGTAACATTTTGTCATGCTGATTATAAGGACAAAATATTTATTTTGTTATTCATTAGCTCAGATTGACATTATGCACTAGAAAATACTTTAGGACAATAGGTGCTTTGGCTATGGGAAATGAGGCAATACAGTAGTTCTGATGGTCAAGTTCAGACATATTTGTATCTATTTTATTATCAGAAACCCCTTTTTATCACATTCTCCAAATGTTGGCTGGATAGGGAAGAGAAATGAATGAGGCTTAAAGCTGTCCATAGTCTAACATCTAAACTGGAAATCAGATTCATTATTATACACTGCCAACCCTCACACAACACCCTGTTCCCCTACCATCAGCCCTACCATCGCCCCCCCCCCCCGACCCCAAATACCAAACACAAGCAGAAACAACAACTTCCTTACTTCCTTGGAGTATAATAAAGTGTAAAAGAAAAAAACCATCCACAGTCTTCACTTCCTCCTTATTCTCAGGGTCTGGCTAACTTTGAAATGGCTGGTCTGGTGCCCAAACTTGTAGAATTCTACATCCCTCCCTTCTCACATACCTGCCCCCTCTGCTCCCTCCCCACCATCAGAGAACACACAAAAATACAAACACATTTCCTTTTTCCACAAACTGGTATTTATTTAAGGAGACCATTTATGTTTTGATCTCATAATGCCCATTTCTTAAGCATTTTTAAGGGTCTTCTTGTTGGGCCTGGGCATCACTTGTGGAAGAAGAACATTCAGGAACTTCTTCTTGTTCGTTTGTTGGCTCGCTTACTGGAGGCTTTCTGCCCATCCTGCAGTGAAATACATTTATCCTTCTCTTTCTGCCTTTACCCTTCTGGTCCTTATTCTTCTTAAGGACGGAATTCACCAAAGTCATTATCTTCGTTACCTAATTGGGAAACAAGTTAAACACAGAAAGACATTGGTTTGGGGGGAGAAATTGGGAAATGGGTGGGAAAAGGGTTTAAAATAGAATGGCAAGGGATTGAATGAGGAAGTGTCTGTGCCAAAAAAGCACAAGGCCAGAATCTTGGGTGAGGAATTACTGGGGAAGAGGAAGTATATGAGTAGGGTAGACTGACCTTCTTCTTCTCTTTGTCATTGAGTGGGTAAACTGACTTCCAATTAACTTTAGTACTTGAAGTATCTTCCTCCATCCTTGTGGTTGGAATCTGATTCCTTATCCAAACTAGTCTACAGTATTTTCTTAGTAACTTTGGCTTTGTTGTAGCAACAGACCTTACTCCAAGGCTCCTGGCCTCTATATATACTCTCTAGGACAATGGGGGGCCACACCCTTCAGCTCTGATTGGCCAACAGTCAGTGGTTGCCATGGTGTGGCTTGACATCACAAAGCCTCAGCTTGACCATCCAGGAGGGGGAGGTAGGAGAGGATGCAGAGGACTCAGATGCTCTGGTTAGAGGAAGGGGAGCTTCCTCAATACCGCCTAAAGTTTTTCTCCAACTGACCTCTCTCTCCCTCATTTCTTCTAGCTCAATTATTGTCCAGCATACGGCAGGGAGGTGGTGTTTCCTCTAAGCCATTTCCCATACACTCCCATCATTCAGTGGTCCATTCCACTATCCCCCAGATATCACCATTACCTAGTATTTTGTGTTGTTTTAATGGATGTTTTATTTTAGAATAGTTTTAGATTTACAGAAAAATTGTCAAGATAATACCCATATACCCCATACCCAATTTCTCTTATTAATAATACTTACATTGTTATGGTGCAACTGTAACATGTAGTGAACCATCAGTGAAATAGTGACAGCCATACCTCAGTTCTCTAATATCTCCAATATTAAATCGTTTGGTTATAGACCAAGTTGTTCAAGGAAAAACTATAACTGTTATGGAATAAAACTCCAGTTCTTGACCTGACAACCCTTTCTGATACCTCTCCCTCACACAAAGCATGTCTCATGCCACAAACAAAGGAGAGAATGTTTTTGTTTTTCTTTTTTGTTGGGAAAATATGAATAGCACAATTTAAAAATATACAGAGCACCAATGATGGTAAGGGTGTGAACATGCCCACAAAACAACAACCACAGGCAACTGAAGAGGTAGAAAATGGTTGTTGATTGGGATAAGTGAAGAGTGGTTGGCCAGTGATAGCATGTGGGAGGCAAGGATGTGTGAAAAGTCCAAGATGCTGCATCCTGTCCTCTTGAAGGATGCCCCTGAAAGGAGTGTGGAATATGATTCATTTAAGGCTAGCACGGGGTGCTTCCATAAATGTATGAAAACAAGTGGTTTTCTTTAGATTAAACAGTACTTGAACATATACTATACCTAAGAATGTTAAATCACGGAATCATTTGTGTGTTTGAAATGGATTCATTCAATTTAAATATACACTGTGTGGCCAGATTATTATGATCTCTGAATGCATAATAATCTGGCCAATATATATTAGAAGCCTGATGCATGAATATTTGCATGTTGGATCCTGGCCAGGGAGAGGGGACATGGGTGAGTGGCCTGCCTGTCTGCTGGTCAAACTCCTGGTTGAGGGGTCAATTTGCATATTAGCCTTTTATTATATATTATATATACTGAATGGCCAGATTAGTGTGCATTCAGAGATCATAATAATCTGGCCACTCAGTGTATATGTAAGTGGTTATGAAAATGTTTTCAGATGCAGTAGGTTAAGGGAGTAGGGCAAGCAGACAGCAAGGGAAAATGTCAGGCAGCGAGGCAATGTGAAGCAAAATCCCACCTTTTTCCTGATACCCCACAGAATATCTCTAGAGAGCAGTCTCAGAGGTTGCCACCTTGGAATTTAGGTGTATACCATTTCAGCCTTCTTTTCAAGCTATGCCATTCAGTTTACAAGAATTGGACTTTTCAGGGGCATTTGGTCTAATATTCCCACTGATGTTCCTGGGCATTTCTTGATAGGAAGACTGAGCTGGATTTGCCTTCCCTCTGGACAGCTATGTACTATGCTGTGCCAGTCCAGCCAAGGGTTTGCGCCTGAGGGAGGGCGGCGAAGGATGAAAAGACAGACTAAGAAAGTAACTGGGTCTAGGTGGATCTTCCTGTGCCTGGCTGAGGCCACAGGGAAAAGATCCAGACAGCAAGCTGATGCTTTATTTTACAGACAGAGGTAAACAAGGTAGTGGTCACCATGGTTATAATGTTCTTGTGAGTTTCACTTGTTTTGGCAGCACTTGCTGCACCTCCCACAGCCCATTAGCTACCCAGGAAGGACCTAGGGAGTGTCATAAGGTCAAGCTTATTTATGCTAAGCTGGGACACTCTAAGCTGGGACTAGTTTGTGCCTTTGCCAACAGGTCAGTACGAGGCTTAACCCTATAGCCACTCCCTACAGTGTGCCAAGGAAGGAGAGCAGCTACATGGCAGCTGGTGCCTCTTTCTGTCTCTTCCTCCAGGAAAATGTCTGGTTTCCTAGTTTGGAATAATGATGATCTCAGGCACCTTCTGTATTATTATCACTGATTGTTTTGTCATTGTTATTTTATTTATTTATTTATTTGTTTGTTTATTTATTTATTTATTTATTTATTTACTAGTTGTGCAGTTACTTAAATAGTGAGTGTCAAATGCCTGTGTTGTGACTACCGGCTTCCATGCACACTACCTAGCTGCTAAGAAGAATGGAACATGTGCAGATAGACAACACTGTTAGTGAGGAATGAAAAGAACATTTCCTTGTTATATCATGTTCTAACAACTTTTGTTAAATATTGCCATAATTAGGTCCATTTTAATTTGACTTGTTGCTTTAGCATATATAGGGTTAATTTAGGTTTCAGACATTCATAAAAACTTTTCCCTTTGCTATTAATGCTGGTGTTATTTTTTTACTTAGGAAAATTCATGTTAGGAAGGACTTTATCCAGGAGGTAATGACCCTCTAAAGGTAGGGGGCAAGTTCATGAGTGAGTGAGTATGTTCAGATATAGATACAGCTGTAGCTTTTAAAAATAAATTAAATAACTAGATTTACAAGGAGCTATAAAAAATAGTACAGTGATTCCAGGTACCCTACATGTACAGTTTCCTCTGGCAGTGATATCTTATACACTACAATGTCAAAGTAATGAAATTAACATTGGTTCAATGTATGTATACCAGTAGTTCCATTCTATCACATATGTAAATTGCATAATCATCACCACCACAATCAAGGCACAAAACTGTTCCATGACCACAAGGCTCCTTCATGCTATTCCCTTATAGTCACATCCACTCCCCCTCATCATAGCGACCTTTGGCAACCACTAGTCTGTTCTCCATCTCTATAATTTACCTAGTTTGATAATTTTACATAAATGTAGTAAAATAGTATGTGGTCTTTTGAAATTAGCTCCTCCCCCACCCCACTTAGAATAATTATCTGGTGATCCTTCTAAATTGTTGCATGTTTTATCCTGACTATTTTGGCTCAGTGGATAGAGCCTTGGCCTGCAAACTGAAGGGTCCCAGGTTGGATTCCAGTCAAAGTTGCAGGCTCAATCCCCAGTAGGGGGCGTGCAGGAGGTAGCTTATCAATGATTCTCATCGCTGATGTTTCTATCTCTTCCTCTCCCTTCCTCTCAAAAATCAATAAAAAAATATATAAAATAAATTGTTGCATGTTTTAAGAGTTTGTTCCTTTTTTTTTTTTTTTTGCTAAGTGGTATTCAATGCTAAGAATGGAATAAGAATTAGTTTATGAATATTTGGATTGCTTCCACTTTTTACTTTTATAATAAAGCTGCTATGAATATTTTTGTACAGGTTTATATGTGGACATAAATTTTCATATCTCTGGGATAGATGTCCAGGAGTATTTCACTGGGTTGTATGTTAGTGTAGATTTTATTAAAACACAAAAAATGTGACCACATTGTTTAAATTTTAGCTATCAACTAGAAGATATAGATTTAGCCAAAAATGTTTTATACTTTGTTAGAAAATATGAAGTTAGCATTAAGATAATGATGATTTTATAAAATAAGGATTTGTCCACAAGGAATTTGTTATAAATATTATTTTAGTTTTCTAATCTTAACCTTTAGTTTTCTAATCTTTAGTTTTCTAATATTTCTAGTTCTTTTTCTAACCTATAATTTTGTAACAGGCTATGACTACCCAGTGAATTCACTTGGAATGGCTGCTTTCTGAAGTAGGAAACAGAATGTCCTTAATTTCAAATCATCATTCCACTTACATTTACTCTTTCTATGCAGCTACTCAATTCAATACAGGGAAACATGAGATGTGCTAAAGGTAGGCATATATATTGCTTTCCTTTCAAGGGAAGCTATTTTAGTTTTGAATTTTCTATCTCTGATTTCTGACAAATGTAGTTTTAAATGCATGTAAAAACTGGCAGTCCTTTGTATTCAAAAGGCATTACTACTTAATGGTTTTTGTCTTATATGGCTTTAAACTTTTAAAACATGGTAGAAATAAAGCATTGTTGTTCTCCCACATAAGCCTAAAGATATCAGCTTTGATGGGATAACTCCAATCCCCTTCCAACCAGTGTTGAGAATCAGCTTGATGAAACAATTTCATGGTGTTTGATTTAGTGAAGATTCCGGGCACTTGTTATGCTGTGCTTCTGGGATTCTCACCCCCCAGGAAGTCCAGTGACTGAAGCATGAAGAAGAAAGATATTGCCAAATGGTTCACAACCGCTGATGTACTCTACAGTTCACTTCTTTTCAATGAAATAACACAGAGCACATGTGGCTAGATGGAACTGACTTAGTGTCGGAATGGATTCTGATCTGGGAGAGAAAATAAGAGGGAAGAGAGAACTCATAAAGTGAATGGCACTTGAGATGAGGGTATAGCCAAGCTCTTGAAAGCATATGTCTCAACCCTGGAATTCTGCATTCCTATCCTCAATCCTTCCTAGACAGTTCTATTGGCTTTGAGGTTTATGATTTATGACTTGCCATTTATGGAGTATTTATAAAAAAATTTTAGTGAAGAAGATTCTGACCAATGTCATGAGTAAAGGACAAGGGCGTAAAGCTATTTGTGAAACTGGTTTTCATCTTCTCTGTCAGAATTAGCTGGAGTAACCCTAAGACTGTTTTCTCATGGAAGTCCAGGTTAATTAGGCCCCAATGCAAATATTAATAGTGCCTTTTCATTATGAAAAGTTGCCCTGTTTTAGGACAA